GTTGCCTCCTCCACCTGTTGAGCTTTCAGAAACCCATTAATCAAAGAATTTACAACATGGACACTTGGTTGGATATCTGCATATTTCATTTGAGTAAATAAATGCTGCGCCTTCTCTATGTTTCTATTCCTACAGCATCCTTCGATAAGGACTGCATAAGTGACCTTGTTGGGAGTCAGTCCATCTTCAATAATCTTATCGAACAATTCTAAAGCACTGTTTAAATCTCCCAGCTGACAGTACCCTTTCATCAAGCTTGTAGCAACAACCAAAGTGATCAAATATCCACAACTTATCATCTCATCCTTAAGCCTTAATGCCTCAGTTAAATTCCTCTGCTTCACACATGTAATAATCACATTTGTAAATGTACCCTCAGAAGGAACCCAATTCATCTTCTTCATCTCACTCAACAAATCACATGCAACATTTGCATCCAGTTTCATACAAGCAACTCGAACAGCAGTAGTATAAATAGCCACATCAAGCTTCATTCCACTACCCTTGGCCTCCATAAAAAGCTTCTCAGCCTCCTCCACTTTACCCTCCCTTAAACACGCACCCATCATCACATTTACAGTTGCACAATCATAACTGAATTTATTTAAAATCACATCATTAAACAAATCAAAAGCCTCATCATTCATATCTCTTTTAACCAAAGTACTCAAAAAATTATTCATTACCAACGCCCATGGTGCTATACCACAAGAAACCATTGCTTTAAAACAATCAACAGCATCTGCAAATCTCCGTGCTCTAACATATCCATTCAACAAGTAATTAAAAACCCGCGCATCTAACTGAAAACCAAATCTCTCTGCACAATCAATAAAGTGATCGACGAGAACAACAGCCGAGGGAACTGAATTACTAGATGCATAATTGTTAAGCAAATTTCTAACTACACCGTTATGGTTCCCAGAACTTACCAGAATGTGCAGCAAGAGACAGAAAGGAACCACACTTCCACGTGCAAAACCCCTCTGTTTCTCTACCCATTTGAAGTACTCCAAAGCTGAAAATGGGTCATTCCTATGAGATAAAAGACTTTTGATGACATGGGTTTGGGTTAAAACTGGGTTTTCTGAAATAGGAACTTGAGAAGTTTTGATCTTGCTTGAATTTTTGGACTCTGAGGTTCGCTTGGTGTCAATACCAGATGGATTGGGACTGGGCACATCTATTATTTCTGGGATGGTAGAGGAAGATGATTTACAATTGTGAGGAATGAGAGAAAAAAGAATTCGAGGAGAGATTGATGAAAACGAAGAGGAAGAAGAACAAGGATAGAGGAGCCAAGATTTCATTTTGCCTTTGTATTTTCTGCAAAAAGAACACAAGATGAAAACTATAAACAATGTTTTAAAAATTGACCCGGGCATCGACCCGAAAATTAAAAAGGGTCAAGGGTCAAAAGGTCGAACCGGGGGTCGGACCAGGAATTTTTAAAAATAAACCAGTGACCTGCCTCTTACCAGTAAAATTTTCAAAGCAAGAACTAAGTAATGCAGGGGAGAAGAAGAACAAAACTCAAATTCCAATATTAATGAAAAAGTTTTGGATTAAACAATGGCACAACATCAAATGCCTTCAAATTTTTGGATTAAACAAAAGTTCTGGTATTACAAAACGTCAACCACGCAAACAATGTTTTCCACAAACTCCTCTTTCTCCATAGCCACTTACCCCCAAATTTTAAGCACCTTGGAGATGGGAAAATTCTGAGATTTAATCAATTTCTTGATGTCCTCTGACAGAGGGGTGGGGGAGAACGGTATTGACAAAGAATTATACACAAAAAGAACAACAAAATCCAACAAAGTTCCCAAATCAAATATGAAAATTGTTATTCTAAACCTACAAAATATGCAAGATAAATCATTCTTATCCCTAAATTAATTGAAATCTTGGAAGAAAATATAAATATTTCTGAAAAATGAAGAACACAATGAAAAATCAATGTGTTTAGAAGAAATCAAACAT